AGGATGAATTAATTACTTTCTAACAAACTCAAATAAAAACTTGACTGCATAATGCCTCCTTCTCTTGCCTTTATTAAAAATRTCCAGGAGCATTTCCATAGTATGTAGATTCCCTGCCCCTCCCCATGTGAATTATCTCTATATTTATGGATTTTTTACTGATACAAGGAAATTGGGATTTTGATCCTCCTGTTGATGATGGATGTATTATGGGCTGGTCTGTACCAAGTTGTGCATCAGCACCACACCCCAGAGAGGGCAGGGAGTGCCCAATCCTCCCAAAAATCAGCAGCTTTTTGCTCCTCTGGGCGTGGCCCAGTGTCTCTTTTGGGGTGGCCTGACACACAAGTACATTGGTCCCTTGCAAAGGGGCAAAGCTGTTTATTCCAATAATCAGTCGTATTTTATTAATATGTATCTTATTAATTGTGTTACACTTTCATTGGCTGCTTAACTGCTACAATGGATTCACTGGCTGTTACTCAACTGCAGCACACCACCATTGGTCACCTATGGCATAAGTGTTCAAGCATTCAGAAAAACACCAGGTGCAGCCTTGGTGCTGTTTTCTCCTAATGCTTAAATTTCTTACTCCTGTTGATACCACATTCTCGTGGGTAGATATACCAGCTCTATCCTTTGTTTTCCTGGATTACAGAACTTGTTTTTCACCTCTAGTTCAGCTGAGCCATTCCCAGAATCCTTCTCTGGTTGGCCACAGTAACAGGAGAGAGCTGGGGTTTTACAAGGGTAACGAGAACCTCGTTTTATAGGCTWTTACTGCTCTGCAGCAGCCCAGCCCCGAGTGCATTGCACACCTTCCTGATGGTTTGGGCACCCTTTGTGCTGAGCAGCCTGTTGTTGAGGCTGCCCTGGGTTTGGCAGGTGTGAGTGAGAGCAGGTGAGACAGTTCCCATCTGCAGGGGAGAGCCGTGAATCTGCTCGGAATTGCAAAGGAGCTTCCTCAGCCTTGCTTCCAGCCTTTGTCCCTACATTAAATCCCTGGCTGCAAATGTGGTTTGGAGCCGAGTACTTGCTAAGGAAACCTTGTTTAAAATATGCTGAACAAAGMGTTACACAATAGGAGAATTTAATAACAGTCCCACACTCCTGGAGTTGTGTTTTACTGCAGAGTAGCACTTTTGCATCTGCAGGGTAGAGAGGAACAAGTTTCATCTCTGCAATTTCTCTGGCATGGATTAAATTATATGTGTTTTCAATCTATATACAGGAGAGACTGTGAATGTATGTTCTATGCTTGGATTTTATGTTGGCAACACTTTTTTATGTTGGTTATTATTGAAAACAATGTTAATTTTGTGGCTGCACCCTGAATGTGCTGTTCCTGTTACTCCTGGCTTTGCCATCTGTATTATCAGATAGAATGGCAAAGGAATTAATAAAGACTAGAAATGGCTCTGGTCTGAGAATTCATTTGGAAGGAAGGTAATTTTTTAGGAAAAAGAAATTATCTGTACTGAGGCTACATGGGAGCCATTAGTAAGGCACACTACTAATGCAGGGCATCTGCATCACCATTAACACCAGGAGATGGTCCAAAATCACTCYTGTCACCATAAATCCAGGCATGAACTGGGTGATGGAACTGCATCTGCTGCTTTAAGGGAGAGAGGTGTTTGGATTTATAGTCCCACAGGCAGGGCAGAGATGGAGGAAGAAGATTCCACTTCCTTTGAAGTGTAATGAACTGAATCTCCTGTAATGGAAGTGATTTTRCCTCTCTCTGAACATGATGAAGTCCTGCAGTAAATGTGCTTCTCTGTTTGCTTTGGGTGCTCTCTAGCAGTGGGACACTGGGCAGGCACAGACATTTTCTTTTTTAAACAGAAATTCTTGTTGCATCTGGACGCTGCTCTGAGAAAGGAGAGGTCAGCTCTCAAACACAGGTGTAACAAATAAAGCTGCAGATGTGGAAAGCAGTTTCATATTTACATTTGTGAGGCTTTTTGAGCAGAAAGCRCTGTTCATTTCTCATGTTCATTATGCCTCTCACCTAGATCCTGTATCATTACCTGTTTAATGATCTTTACCCCTCACATGAACACAGCTTGCTGAAGCTTGACTCTTGCAGTAAATTATCATTCACGTCTGGTAGGAGAGAGGAAGTATTACTTGGGGAAAATGCTGTGTTATCTGACTTAAAACTTCAGCCCTGTGATACAACTTTGTAAGTAGGTGATGATGATTTAATCTCACATCTAAACAATAAAATGATTTTGAAGAGGTGGTTCCTCTTCTATAGGTCATTAGTTATAATATTTTGATATTAGAGTGTAAGGACTTCAAAAAATTATTTTAATTATTTAAATCAATCTGGTTCTCCCCACTGATTGTAGTAAATGCCACATTTATGTATTTTTTCTTTTCTTTTCTTTTCTTTTTTTTTTTTTTTTTTAAGGATTAAATTATATATATGTATATATATAGGTTTTGCCACCATAAACTTTTGGGTAAAAAACTGATCTTCCACTCATCAGACTTAGTTTCAACTTTAATATTATAAAAAGCTCCTGGCTCTTCTACTTTGTTTCATGTTTCATGTTTAGCCTTTAATTTTATAGAGTTTCAAATAGCAATATCTATTCCTTGCTTTTGATACAAAGGAATTTGAGTTATTAGAGGAAACAATTAATGGCAATCATAGACATTTTGATCACTTTACCGTTGGTATTTCACTAGAACTGYGAAGGTTTTATAGCTCTGCATTAAWATCTACCAGACCTGATCTATGAACCATAGTTGGTGTTGGATATTATGGGTAACACCTGAGATTCCACTGACAGTCTGTCTCAGCAAACTGGAGAATCTTTGAGCCTTCTCCCAKATCTGTGTGGGCTCTCTGGTTTATTCAGTGCCTTCTAAAATGCAGATTAATTTCAGAGTGTGGCTGGGTGAGCTGAGATGTTCCCAGTCCGTCTGCTGAGCTGTGGGTGTCCAGACAATGCTGTGATACCACATCACTGCAACTCAGCTCGGAATGTCCTGCCAAAACCTTCCTATGCGGTGTTAATGCCATATAGGATTTATTCAGSGAGCAAACAGATGCCTGAATTATAAACAATCTGTTTAAAACACAGATTCTGGGTTGATCTTTACAGGCTCTGGGGCTCTGAAAATAAAGGTCATAAGGACAATAATCCTAAAGGCAAAAGAGAGTTGTRTGAAGTTTCTGAGCTTACAAAACCATGGCACCAAGCAAGAGGAGAGAGCAGCAGCTCAGGAAGTGAGGGATTGTTCTGCAGCAGGAGCTGGTGGCAGGTGCAAAAAGAAAACTGAACTTCAGGAAAAGGGACTCAGCTGTCACTTGACATCCCTGTGGATGTTCCTGTGGGCAGGGTAGAAGAGTTGAGCTGGACTGAGTCATTCACATCCACAGCTGAAATGCTCTGGAGGAGTCCCTGARACAATGGTGGTGTAAAATCAAACACAGAGGGTGAGTTTACACCTCTGTGAGGTGTGGTCAGGGGGAGTTCTGCCATTCCTGCCCAGCGGGAAATGCCATGATGGCCAGGATTTTGTATCTGAAATGAAGCAAGAGGGAAATCAGCCCCGGCTGCTGCTGTCCCTGTGCTCATGGCAGCACACCCAGGTGTGAGAGTGCCGCGCTCTTGAGCAGCTGAATTCCTGAGCAGATGAGSTCAGATATCACTGTTTGTGACCAATTATGGACTGAGAACCTGCAGAGCTGCCTGTGACACGAGAATCTCCCTGGGGCTTGGCTCTGGCTGCTGTTACAAGGCTKTTCTTCCACACCTTTTTTAATATCCTAATGCAAGCTCTGGTATTAAATGATGCTGCTGCCTGGCCTGGCAACCCCTGCTATCAATTGAAGAAGAAATTGCATAACCAGCAACAGTTTCTGTTGAGCTGTCTGCACAAAATGAGCAAACAGGAACAAGTCTGCTTGTACTGGTTGTAAGTCCAGCTGCAACCTAAGCTGGTTGTCCATATTTCCATCAGACTTCCTTTGGTTAGGGAGACATAAATAATAATAGATGAAAGTTACATTTTTTATTATTTTATTTGCTTCTTGATCATATTATGTCAAAACTATTAAGAAGAAGAATTTAAACCACTATTACTGTATATTTAAATTATTATCCTGTATTTTTGAATGTGTTGACATGGATACATATGGTCCAACCAATTCACACTCTCACCTCACAACTTAAAAATTATTGGAGACAATCTGATATTCAGTACTTGGCTCTGAGCCTACAAAAAAAATCAATGGAAGTCCTTTGTCCCTAGGTTTTTAATTAATAAAAAAAAATCCATAACAAAGAAACCTCTCTTTCT